AGATCCGTAGCACTATTTTACAAGAGTTCCCAGACCATTTGAGTTCTGTACAGGAGTCATCAGTCTTCACATCTTTGAAACTCTTAGTGGCTGCGGAACACCAGCTTCGAACTTCTTGATGTAGTCATGGATGTGCTCACTGATTTCCTGCGCCCTTTCCTGCTGGATGAAGTGCCCAGCGCCTTTGATGACCACCACCTCCTCAAGCAACGGCACGTCCCTCTTGAACCCGCCCTTGTGGATGTAGCTCTTCACTCCTGGGTGATGGTATGCCAGGTCACCGTCCCCAACGATGAACTTAGTCGGCACTTGCACCTTTGCTCTTGTCCATGGCGCCATCAGTTCCCAGTTCCTGTGCACACATGTCAGCCAGATGTAACTAATTTATGATGCATGTGTGATGCAGCGAGAAGATGATGATGCATGATGCAATCACCCATTCTTCTTGGTTAATGAGTGGTGTCAAAGGAGTTGAAATTTAACCTAGCACCAAAATTATATGTTGTTCAAACAGCTAAACTATTCAAATCAAAGTTTCATGTTTCTCTCCATGAAATTCAAAAATCTAATTTTGGAACAAAAATGAAAGAAACATTTCCAACATCTTTGCAAACATTGATGTAGATTTCCAGCAACCTCCTCATATTTCATATTCAATTGTGGTTTATGACTTCATGTTCTCTGTGAGATTCTGCTTTCTATGCTAAAAACAAGTGATGCCACTATCTTTGAAACATTCGGATGTGATAATTCCTATGTTCACAATGACTGCACTAACATAGCAGTGGCATGATATTGGAGAATGATTGATACAAAGCAATAAATGATACAAAGAAAGTCAGTCCAACACATCCAACTCACAAGGCAAATTGAAATGAAAATGAAACAAAAAAAAAACATACGTGTCTCTGTTTCAGGTTTCTATTCTATTGAGCACATAAAACCTAAAGGAATGTTCTCTGCACCCAGTGCCCTTTTTTATTCTAATAAAATCGCTCAGCAAATCTCTTGCTGAGTTTTTTCGAAAAAAACAAAGAGTTACCATTAAAAGCAATATGTTGCAATCTGAAGCTCTACACTGCATCTTAATTCTACTGAGGCCCGTGTGTTACATGAAAAACTATATTCCGTGTGGAAACAGGTGATGCTGATGGGGTTTAGATGTTTGGTGTGTGCAGAAAGGTTTTTGGAAAACACGACATAAAAGAATTCAGGAGATCATGACTTGATTACACAACAACAACAACAACAACAACAACAACAACAACAACAACGTAGCCTTTCAGTCCCAAACAAGTTAATGTAGGCTAGAGTTGAAACCCACAAGAGCCCTAAGTCACAGTTCAGGCACTTCAATAGCTGTTTTCCAAGTACTCCTGTTCAAACATAGATCTCTAGATATATCCCAAGCTTTCAAAACTCTTTTTATTACCTTCCTCGCGTCAATTTCGGTCTTCCTCTACCTCTCCTCATATTATTAGCTTGGCTTAGGACTCCACAATGCACTGGTGCTTCTGGAGGTCTCCTTTGGACATGGCCAAATCACATCAACCGATGTTGGACAAGCTTTTCTTCAATTTGTGCTACCCCTAGGTGATCACGTATATCATCGTTCCGAACTCAGTCCATTCTTGTGTGACCACAAATCCATCGCAACATACGCATTTCTGCAACACTCAGTTGTTGAACATGTCGAATCTTTGTAGGCCAACATTCTGCTCCATACAACATAGCCGGTCTAATCGCCGTTTTATAAAACTTACCTTTTAGCTTTTGTGGTACCCTCTTGTCACAGAGAATTTCAGAAGCCTGTCGCCACTTGATCCACCCTGCTTTGATTTTATGGCTAACGCCCGCATCAATATCTCCATCCATCTGTAGCATCGATCCCAGCTTATGCACTACTTGACCTTCCAAACTCATATCTCCCTCCTCCTGTGCAGCTCCGCCAAAGTCGCATCTCATGTATTCAGTTTTAGTTCTGCTCAATATAAAACCTTTAGACTCAAGGGTCTGCCGCCATAACTCTAGTTTTCTATTTATTTCCGTCTAGCTTTCGTCCACTAACACTACATCATCAGCGAACAACCTACACCAAGGGATATCCCCTTGCATGTTCCTGGTAACCTTATCCATTACCAAGGCAAAGAGATACGGGATTAAGACTGACCCTTGATGAAGCCCAATTCTAATCAGGAAGTAATATGTGTTACCATCGTTTGTTCGAACACTAGTCACAACATTGTTATACATATCCTTGATGAGGGTCACGTACTTTGATGGGACTTTATGTTTGTCCAAAGCCCACCACATAACATTTCTTGTGGTGGTCGCTTATGAAATTTAATGAATTTTCGGGACATCATGATTTGATTTCGCGCTTATGAATATAAATTGGTTGCGAACTTACAGGTCCAAGCAGCGGTAGTAATTTACTCCACCAGCAAATCCAGTTTTTGAGTACACACTTGCAAGGTAACTGATATCTTCCTCGGAGAGCCAAGAAGGTAGCTCTATTTGCTTACTGTATGTTTGCATTTTTCTAAGGTCCATAACTGAAGAACCTGTGGCCCGAAGAGTCAATGCCAATTTGAAGAAACTCTTCAAGTCAAAAGCAGTGAATTCTGCTTCATGTCCAGGTTCCTGCCAATCAATGTGACACTTTAAATGTATGTATTCAATAGTATCACTAGTATGATTCTTCATTAGGTTCAAAACATGGAGGTCATATAGACATATATGATCCCAACTTTTGCAACTAGTCCGCGCAGGTGTCATAAATTGCTGGTAAATAACTCACATACCATAGAACAAGAGATTGACTAGTAACTCAGAAAAGAGTAATATTATTACCCAACTATGAAGAAATCTCAAAGAAAGAGAACTAGTTACAACAGAAGTATACTGTATACCACCAAAGAAGAAAATTTGTACATACATTTTAGGCTACACTTCTAGAAGATCAATTGATGGGAAACTCCAATGCGTGAACATAGAATTGTGCATCAAACTGAAGGACACATGTGAGCACCACTTGGGGCTTCGGTTTGGACTGTTTTGAGCATCATCATATATGTATGATTCATTGAATCAACACAATGTGACCGATTGAACTCCACAAGCCCATGTGCGCTTGTGTGAGAACTGAGTAACCCATTCGCTTTTGGATCACAGCTGAGTAATTCTTTTTTATTATTAATTAAGTTCACCAGGGGGAGAGGATCCCCACTTGAATGTATATATTGATTCTGAGTAATCTTATCACTTCTATCCTCTTTACATTAGCAAACCATATAGACATAGCCCCTTCATATTAGAATTGCAATAAGAAATGACAATCCGCGAACTGAGTACTCTTATCACTTTTTTTTGGAAGAATTAGCAGGAGCACTGCTATATCATATAAGATGGAAGCAAACCAGTTACAACAATTCGGTTCCTCTTATCACTTTTATCCTCTTCTTTACAAGGAACCCATATAGACATAGCCCCTTCGTATTAGAATTGCAATAAGAAATGACACTCTAACCCAATGGCATCTCACATCTCCTCCAACGTTGGGGAAGCCCAACACAAGGACCATACCGGAAAATGCGCAAATGATAACTGTGTACCAAAATACGTTCCAATTCAAACAGACTGCCAACCAATCTGTGGATGCCTAAAATTCGCAAAACCAATGTGTGGATGCCTAAAATTCGCAAAAGCAACCTTTCTTCAGTCTATCGGTTACTGATGATTAGGTGGAAGTGGCACATCCAAAGGACGATAGGAGAAACAATTGCTCACCTGGAATCGGCAGACGTAATAGTCATCGCCGTATGCGGCGCGGAAGTACTCAAGAGGCTTGACGCCGGGGCGCCGGGGCATGAAGGCGACGCTGAGGTTGACGAGCGCGCGCACCCGATCCGGCCGCAGCAGGCAGAGGTTCCACGACACGATGGCTCCCCAGTCGTGGCCCACAACGAACACCTGCACCCCAGAGATCCCAACACATGTGGCGAATTTTCGACAAGCTTTGGTGGGGAACTCGATTCGACGGGGAACGGAGCTGCGCGCGGGTACCTGCGGTAGGTGGAGGGCGTCGAGGAGCGCGACGAGGTCGCCGACGATGTGGAATACGGTGTAGGAGATCGGCTCCGGCGGCGCGGTGGTGCCGCCGTAGCCCCGGAGGTCGGGCGCGACGCAGCGGTAGCCGCGCGCGGCGAGGTAGCCCATCTGGTGGCGCCACGAGTACCAGAGCTCCGGGAAGCCGTGCACGAACAGCACCGCCGGCGCGGAGGCGTCCACGGGGCCGGCCTCCGCCACGTGCATCGAGATGCCGTTGGCCTCCAGCTGCCGGTGCCTCACCGCAGCCATGGCGTGTCGGCGTCGTGCTCCGCGGGTCCGCGCCGCTGCTGTTGACTGGGAGGGGAGAGCGGGGACCGGTGCGATTGATCGAGACGTGTCCGCCGGAACCATATGGGTTGGTCCAAACGCAAACTGGGCCAGGCCCAATTGATCGGATTGCACAGCCTGTTTGTGTTTACTGGCAGACGCGTGGGGTACTCTGTTTGCTTGATTTTATCTGCTGCCTACTTGTCACATGGTTGCCGCACAAAATGCAAATACTCCATATAATATAATCACGATAATATATACTAGCAGCATGCAGCTTGATTACTTGGTACTGAAGCTGAATCCGAGCAGATTAGTTAGCTTTTTGCTCGGAACTGAAGCTTTCTTGCTTGCCTGCAATTGATAATGAGATCGATTAGGCCTGTGCATTTCAATCAATTTCGAAACACATTCATGGTTTATTCATTTCACATCGATCATACCATGACTTGGAATAAGTCACTCCATATCGTAGTCACAAATACTTAAACCAAATACTGTGCATACACTTATTGTTAATTTAAATTCAAAATACAAAACAAGTTGGCAACATGAGGTTGATTTCAGTTTTCAGCAGACACAGCCAAGCTGATTGCTGATGATGGTCGTCGATCCATCAGAATTCAGAACTTGGAGATGAAGTCGTAGATATGCTGGCTGACCTCGTCGGCCTTCTCCTGCTGGACGAAGTGTCCGGCGCCGGGGATGACGACGACGCTGTCGAGCCCCGGGACGTCGGCCTGGAACCCGCCCTTGTGGATGTAGTCCTGGATGCCCGAGTAGTGGTAGGTGAGGTCGCCGTCGCCGACGATGAACCTGGTGGGCACCTCCACCTTGGCGTCCGCCCACGGCGCCGCCAGCTCCCAGTTCCGGTCCATGTTGCGGTAGTAGTTGATGGGCCCCGTGAAGCCCGTCCGCTCGAACTCCGACGCGAAGTGCCCCACGTCCTCCTCCGTCAGCCACGGCGGCAGCGGCTCCTCGTCCGCCGGCTTCTCGCCGCCTACCGCCGAGGAGGTGAAGCGGTTGCACAGGATCTGCTTCATCAGGTACCGGGCGTTCGCCGGCGAGAACTCCTTCTCGGCGACACCAGGCTCCTGCATGCACCGTATGTACGTGCAACATAAAAGTTGTTGTATTCAGCAGTGTGTTGCCGTCTTGCCGACACAAAGCAAATAAAAAGGAAGGATGTGAGCCAAAATTTGGAAGCCGCGATGGAAGGAAGGAGATGGAAGGATCCTCCATCCATATGCATGCAAATCGACGTCGTCCCCGCGTGATGTGATTTTGTTCCTCTATCCCTCCTTCTATAAATGTCACCGACGACGACAACGACACCAACACACCAGCGCCGCACAGACCGCACAGGCACAACAGTACGACAAGCAATGGCGCCGGTCATCCTCCGCATGGACGTGCACTGCTACGGCTGCGCCGGCAAGATCCGCAGGGTCGTCAAGAACCTCCTCGGTACGCCCCCTTCCCGGCCGGCCGACCAGTCGTCGCCGATGAGTAGCTCGCATCGACATCGCATTCGCTTTCATTCAACTCCATCGAGATGGATTTCATTAGCATAACACCTTGGTCGTCGCCGATCGCCGGACCACCATGCGTGCGTGCGTGCAGGGGTGGAGGAGGTGTGGGTGTCGGTGGACACGGGGCTGGTGGTGGTGGCCGGGACGGCGCTGGACGCCTCGCTGCTGCGGTGGCGGATCCAGACCAGGACGCGGAGGCCCGTCACCGTCGTCAGCGACGGCGCGGACCCGGAGCCGCCGCAGCCGCAGTACCAGTACGCCGCGCCGCCGCCGGGGTACCCGCAACACTACCACTACAGAGGGACGATGCAGTACATGGGCCCGCCGCCTTCGGCGCCGCCGCCGGACGCCGCCTACCCTTACTACTACGGCGGCGGCGGCGGCTGGGTACCCGCGCCCGCGCCGCAGCACCTGCTCCAGTACGTGCCGACGACGACTTGGGACGGCTACTTCCCCTCGCGCCAGTACGTGCCCAACCAGGCCCCCATCTGCTTCAACGACGACAACCCCAACGGCTGCTGCGCCGTGCAGTGAGCCAGCGATCTATCGGCGCCGGCGGCCGGCCGGATGACAACAGCGGCATATGTTTGGAGCGAGCGAGTTTTTGTCATGCATGCTCATCACACATACCGGGATCTTCTGTAGTTTAATTATTCGTCCAGTTATCTTTCGCAATTTTCGTCATGGTCGTCGTCGATCGTGTCCGTGTAGCTGGGGCCGATCAGTAGTCAGTCGCACGTGTCTTTTTCTATCGTGTGTGCGTGGAGTCAGCAATGGCCAATAAGTCTACTGCAGGGTTCATTTTGACTGCCCTGCTGGTTACTATTATTATTTATATATATTCCCGGTATGAATAATAATGATTTGTTTACGTGTACAAACAATATATAAAACAAAGTTTGTTTGCTTATCATTGTTCATCCAAGTTCTTAATTTGGCGTGTCTGAGTAGACTGAGCTGTCCTAGTTTCTTTAATTTGCACCAATGCAATGCAATAATGCAAGCTAGCTGCGTACTGGACGAGCTGTCTAGCTAGCAAAGGCACCTCCGATCCGGACTGCGACGACAGCGACGTTGTGGATTGATCTCCCTAGTCCCTAGTGCTGCACCTTATGTGCGATGACATGTGCGCACACACCATCCAAGTCCATGCCGTCGTCACACGCTCAGTCCTAGCTCATCAGTCCAATAGTCCATGTGTATTGAAATGAATTGTGATAAAGCTTAGCTTAATTTTCATAACAATAGTCCATGTGTATTGAAGTTAATTGCGGTAAAACTCAGTTCAGATTACGTAAAGTTTAAACCAAATATCTTCTGTTTAATTTCTATAACAATATGATGAATTGAGATGCGGACGAGTAATATTATCCAAACAAACCCTAATTTCCTAAATAGGTGGCCTATATGCATGCAAATTGTTGGTGCAGAAGATATTTGGTTTAAACTTTACGTAATCTGAGGCTACAAACCATAATAGAAATTGAAATTTCCAAAACTAATTTGATAAACGCCATTTAAAAAAAATGGAACAAGGAAATTTGGGACGTGCATAGTGTGTATATGGTAATATATATTGAAGTTGAAAGGTGAGTATAGTCGTCGGGTATCACGCGGTGATTGTTGTTCTAGATTGTAAAGATTCTTTTATTTTCTACGACTAATAACTACTACTACTAAACATCTTGATCGCTTTAATTCATCCCCGAAAGCGAAATAAAAAAAATACCAAACCACGTGTATAGCGGCCGGTACGTGCTGTACGTACTACGTACTAAGGTAGAGATGCATGCAGAGCACTGCACGGTACGTAATTATTAGTTGTAGAGCGGTAATGTAGACAAGTAAGTAGTAGGGACGATATCGATATTACTACGTATAGTGTACACGTACACACCTGGAAGCGGCAGATGTAGTAGGTGGGCCCGTAGTTGCCGTGGAAGAAGTCGGTGGGCTTGACGGCGGCGGCGCCGGCGCGGATGAAGACGTGGCGCATGAATGCGACGCTGGTGTTGACGAGCGCCGTCACCCGGTCCGGCCGGAACACGCACAGGTACCACGCGATGATGGCGCCCCAGTCGTGACCCACCACGAACACCTGCTTCACCGTCACCATATCACCATGTGCATGCATCAGTGATTCCGGGCACACCACGCCATGTCATGCATCACTTCATTCATTCGTCCACATGCATGCAGTGTGATGCAACCACCAGGCTAAAAGCATCTATCCGTGCAGAAACGAAACGAAATCAAATCAAAGGCCACGGCTGATGAGTCGCCATGACTGGCCTTGAGATCGATCGATGCAGTACTGTACGTACTCTGCCAGGACCACTGCTAGAGTACATTAGTACTTCGAGGTGCGGTTTCAACGAATATATGGATTAGCGAGATCATATGGACAATATTTTTCATGTGTTTTTTTGGCGTTTCCAACACAGCCTATCCTAGGGGCCGGTACATATACTGCTTGTATGTACGTACGTACGTACGTGCGTACGTGCGTACGCGTGCGCGTGCGCGTGTACATACGTATGTATGTACGTATGCATGTATGTTTGTATGTATGTATGTATGTATGTATGCATGCATGCACACCGTACTTGGCCCATCTTTGTTCGTTTTCAAAATAGAAATAATGACCCCTGAATGGAAAAGTTGGGTTCACATCATCGAACGGAGCTATCTAGCGCGCTCCGGACCAAACATAGTGCATATTATATTATGATGAAAAAAAAGGACTCCAATCTATGTGCAGAAATGTACACTTCACCAAACAGCACACAGCATAGCTAGGTAGGTACATATACATATGTCCCTGCGTTTAATATAAAAAAAGTAGAGTAACAGTCCAATTAGGGTAGCTATCTGTTGTGTCATGCATATGTTAGGGGGTATTTGGCAGGCTCTTTATGAGAGGGTCCTCCGAAGGAGCTGGAGCCATTTTGGAAGAGTTATAAACAGCTCTGATTTATCTGTTTTTCACTGAAAAACGGTTCTTCCTACAAAATGTTTGGTAGGGCTTCTCCGGAGCCGAGCAGGAGCCCTACCAAACAGGCTGACATGGCTTCTTCTTGGCTCCGGCTCTGGCTCCTCCAGAGGAGCTCTGCCAAACATTTTCGTAGATGAGTCGTTTTTTTGTAAAAAACAGAGGAGCCAGAGCCATTTTGGAGAAGCCACAATTTGTAGCTCCTTTAAAACGGCTCTGGCTCCTCCGGAGGAGCCCTCAAGAGGAGCTATGCCAAACACCCCCTTAGTTGATTACATATCCTCCGGAGGAGCCCTCATGAGGAGCTATGCTAAACACCCCCTTAGTTGATTACATATATGCACACGTTAAGTTGACGCTAAGATAGGACTGTATATATATAATCACAACATGCGTATTTTTATTCCGGGAAAAATGTATGTACCATGTGTATGTTTATAAGAGAAGAGAGTAGAGCAGGTGGGTAGCAACACACACCGTATATCATTATCATAAAATACGTGCTAAGCACGTTATTGAAAAAAAAATCACTATCATACGTTGACTGATATATTATTATCGGATGGCTATGGCTTCCCGTCCAAATCTGCTCATGTAAATGCTATCCCATCATCCAGGATAAATATAAAATTAAAAGTTCATTGACCTAGTTTGATGACTCGCTTCAAAATTAGCCTAACCAGACTGCATAGAGCATTAATTGTTTCTAAAAATTAAAACTCTCTGATTTTAAACTAAAAAATTAAGATTATCTCCGGTCGTTAACCTCGGTATAAAGTTGGACCATATTCGTCCGAAAAAGCACATAAAACTATATAATTAATAAGAACATATCAATTTTAAAGAAAACTACCGCGGGCTAGAGTAAAAAGAAAGTTGTGGTGGCTCGTTGCCCGCCTCTGGATTTCCACACGGTGGTGTTAGAATTGAGGTCCGGATTTCTGTGCCGGCACGTCGCCCGGCCGGTTCCGGATCAGAAACTCGTGGAAATGGAAGGATCGGAAGGCACGGCCAGTATGTACACACAAGAAGTCCACTTTGAGACGGAAGGACGGACGGGACGTACCTTTTGGATGCCGAGCGCGTCGAGCAGCGCGACGACGTCGCCGACGACGTGGAAGGCGGAGTAGGACGCGACGTCGGGCGGCGCGGCGGTGCCGCCGTAGCCGCGGAGGTCGGGCGCCACGCAGCGGTAGCCCGCGCGGCCAGGTGCGCCATCTGGTGGCGCCACGAGTACCAGAGCTCCGGGAAGCCGTGCAGGAACACCACCGCGGGGTCCCCTTCCGCGCCCGACTCCGCCACGTGCATCGAGATGCCGTTCGCCTCCACCGTCCGGTGCCGGATCGCCGCCGCCTCCGCCATGCTCGCCGGCCTCGCCGTCGTCGCCCGCAGCAGCAGCCGCGCCGGCTGGTTATCTAGCTAGCTTGTCTCCCTCGGCTCACGTACTGCGCACGTCGTCGCTCTCGCTGCCCCTGCTAGCTCCCGTCCCGGCTGCTGGTCTGTCCGCTGCTACTTATCGGCAGGCGGCTCCGTCCGTCCCGCTGGTTTCTGCTTAATTGGCAACTGGCAAGCTGTGCGGCCGTGCGGATATATGCGGAATCAAACGTGAGACGTGCACGCACGCGACGCGAGTGTGAACTGTGAACCGGAGGCGGAGGGGGCGGTTCGGTTGGAGGGTCAACTTCTTCTTGTTCTTGCAGCTGCCGTGACGGTGACGTGGGCTGTGACGCATCATGGGGGTACGGTACGGTGGCGAGTTCCGGCGGGCGGGCGAGCGAGCACACACGTGGATGTCATGGGCGCAAACGCATTCAGCGACGGGAGGCAAGGCAACCACCGGCAGCGCCCAGCGCCAGCGGTGGCCGGTGGGCGGCAAGATCGTCACTTGGCAGCGGGCAAGGCCCATGCAAATGCAAGCAAGCTTGACAGTCACGGGCTCACTGTCACGTGACGGATCTAGATGAATACGGGACGGGCATCCCGATGCACGCTACAAGTGCCATGTGATGCCAGGCTCTGAGCTCGAGGTTGTTTGACTTCGAGAATATAATTTGGATCGTATGCATGCAGTGCAGATGTACAGGAAATTATATATGTGTAATACAATATATATCTATATCTATATTTATAATGTTGGTTTATGAGGAAGATTTTGAAGACAAAAGTTGCAAGAAGAATTGAAGGATGGCACGAGTTCTGAAACAGGACCATGCCCTTGTGCACCGCGTTCTACTTTCCATTTGTTTCAGCTTATTCTCCCTCACATAACACTATTAAACCATCCAAAATAATCCAAAATTCACTGTGCGGCCTAGCAGCCGAACGAGCTGCACCCATATGTGTGGGCCTCCGGGTGGTTGTTGTCGGGGGCGCGGTTTGTCCTGCGCTTGCCTTTCTGCACGGCATGCTCAACCCGGATCGGAAATCCAGTAGCGGCCCAGTCCGTGATTTCTTCCAGTTTAATTTATTTATTATATTTATTTTCTTTCCCGGCCGGGACAGATATCGTCGTGCAGTGCTGTTCAACCCGGCCTTAACTCTTGTGTCCTGCGTGCATAGAGCCACCAATGCACAATGCAACCCCATCTTTCTTTTCCAATTAGCCATTAGGGAACACATTATTCATTTCTGTAGGCAGCCGTTAAGCACATTGACTTAGCTAAGTAGCAGAGTAGTAGTAGCAGCAGCAGCAACCATCGTGACCTCTTGAATCACCACGTCAGTACTAGCCGACATGTTGACTTATCGTTTCATTTATACACCCGTGTCTCGTGTCGCTGGTTTATTATGCTTCCGCCATTCTCCAATGTTAAACGAGCTTTACTTACTTATACTCATGCTTAATTTTCACTAGCAAATATGCCTGTGCGTTGCAACGGGAAAAAAACTATCAAACCTTAACGGGGAGGAACCATGGTAATGATATAGTTTCTATTTATAATTTATCCTTTCTATAAAACTTGAAATCTATAATTTATTTTATGATGACTATGATACCCACATATAACTTAATTTTGGCATTAATATGACAATGTCCTATCAAACATGTATCAAATTTAAATACAACCTTGAGAGATTTTTTTCTCCTGTTCCAAAACACACAAAAAAATAGATGTAAATATATCATAATTTTAATTTTTCATACTATCTAGGGTTGCTATAATCAAATATCAAGCTCCGTGACTTTCTTTGAGGACCCATAAAAATATATAATTATAGTCGGCAAGGATTTAGTTGCCGATGTGTTAAGGATTGGTTTGTGCGTCCGTTATTATGGCGGAGATCTCTCTTGATTTTTACATGGCAGTCCTTATCGATCATTCTAGAGGTACATTTATTTAGATTGAATTAGACAGCAAAACGTAAACAACAAATTGATCAAGATTTAGTTGATGGACTATTCATTTATTTAGATTTTAATGAAAACAATTTTTTTGTCATCAAAACTACGTCAACAACTTAGTGGTGAAACTCTTTTTTAGGAAAAATTAATATTGACTTTATTTATTATTTATTTTTGGCGTTTATGAAAAAATGACCACAGGCATCAAGGAACATGTGGGGAAAAAATTGGACAAAAAAACAAGCAAACCAAACAAGGAAAAAACAGGAGAAAAATTTGGAAACAGAAAACCAAACGGGGAAAACACAGAAAGCACCAGGACAGCCAAAAAAACAAATGAAAAAAGCGGAAAAATTCTTATTTTCTCTCTCTCTTGTCTATCTCGTTTCGTTTTTCCTTCTCTGCCTTATCCCGAAGACCTGATCAAGGACCTGAAGTCTCTCAAAAAAATACAGACCTGAAGTCCCGAAGTCTCCTCCTTTCACACGCTTTGTCGCTTCCATCTCCTCTCGACGATTCCCTCACCTCCGACCGCCCCTGCGCCCTGGTGCGTCTGCGCTCCAGCGCCCCACCCTTGCCAGGGCACGGAGGAAGCCTGCCCTGTGGCGCACATCTCCTCCCACCAATGCAGCGGCCGGAACCAGCGGCCCAGGCAGAAGTGCAGGCAGCGGCTAAACCACTTCTCGCTCAGGTAGGCACCTCCTCCCCGCACCCCCAACGTGAACTGTCTCATGGCCTCCTCCTCGTCAGCGAAGCCGGCGAGGGCACGGCCGAACACTGTGCTTGCAGGGGCATCGTCGCCGTCTCGCCGAGCCTGACCTCCGCCAGGATGCACTCGGCGCGCAACTCAGGGTTCCGCGTGCACGCCACCGCAGCTGCGTCGACCACGGCTCGCGCGGGCGCGGCGCCACCGTATTCAACAGGACATAGTGGGACCACAGGGACGCCGCCCGGTCGTCGTCCTCGAAGGCGCCGCCGTCCGCCTCGCTCCAGGCGCACCACTCCTCGAAGAGCTCTCTTGTGGTGGCGGGGTCGCCGGCGCCCATCTCCATGTTGGCCCAGGCGTTGTAGTCGGCGCAGCGGGCGCGCGCTCCATGCCGCCGCCACACTTGTACATGAAGTAGGCGTGCCCCGTCCAGCAGAAGGCCTGGCCAGGGTCGAGCGACTCGAAAAACTCGAAGGAGCGTTGCTGCGCGGCCACCGTCGCCGCGTCACACGGCCCGTCGTCTCGCGGGGGCAACCTGCTCGGTGCGATGATCCTCATCCACGGTGATTGAACGATGGATCGGGCATGACTGCGGCCCTTGTCGATCAGGATATTGAATATATAAGTGCTAGTATATGCATGCATGTATCGGCATCGGATTGAACATTGAATTGAAGCCTGTATTGTTTCGAATTCGAATCTACTTGTTGGTCGCGTTGTATATACGGCTGCGTATAAAACATGACTTCTGCCTTATATAGTGTATAGTACTTCTGACTTCTGCCTTATGTAGTGTATAGGACTTCTGGTACGTGACTTGTTAGGATTTGTGACTTGGCCAAGAAAAAACAACAGAAAATAGAACATTTAGCCTTTTATATTTGGATTAGAATTTCTATTCGAGTACTCGTCCGATGGATCTATTTGATTAGGATTCTAACTATCCATAACATATATTCAAGCGGTAGACTGAAAAATAGAAATAATTTTTACATTCACATAGTTAGTTAGGGAATGCCATACCAAAAAAATGGGACAAAAAAGAGGAGGAAATTTTGCCTCTTTATTATTAGGTATAGATATAGATATAGATATAGATATAGATATAGATATAGATATATTGAGCACATGTTGTGGACTTGGAATGCATGGACTTGTTCTAACCTTTGTGATCTTATTGCCACAAGTTCATGCAAACCAAGAAATTGAAAACCTCAAATCTCTCTTATACACATAGTCGAGATTGTGTTGTCATCAATCATCAAAAAGTGGAGATTGAAAGCATCTAGGACCCTAGTTGGGTTTCGGTCATTAATGACTACACAAGATTACTGTGACTAACGTGTGTTTTGCAAAGACAATTAAAGTTAGGTCATGATAATGATGATTGATTGGGCAATTATGGTTTTTATGCCTTTGTCGTTGGAAATCGTTTCAGTTTTCAAAGGATGGACGACAAGGTTAAGGACGGACTAGTTTTGAGTGTCGGTTGGCATTGAGAGACACTTAGATTAGTTTTAGAACTTTGTTTTTTCTTTGGTCGTACTATAAATGGAGGCATGGATGAGTAGCTTGATCTAGGTGAGTCTAGTGAAAAGAATGTGATGCACATTTGTCAAATTTAGCGCTAGGTAGCTCAGATGAAGCCCAAGATCATCGGGAGTTGGAAAACATTTTGAATCAGCCATTGAAACGGAGAGCAGCGCAGCTGGTGGCACCAGACACGACGGTGCACACTGCCCCTAGGGTGGCAGTGCCACCGGCCTAGGGGGGCGGTGCCACCGCCCTATTTTTCCAGAGACTACCCAAATCAGGTTTTTGCCTTGTAGGGGCACCGGACAGGGCACCGCCCTAGGGGTGGCGGTGCCACCGCCTTAATTATCCAGAGAGGAGGGAAACTGGTCCTTGCACGGGCGTTGGCGATTATCCAGAGCGGTTGTGGGCGATTCACCGCGACGGAGTGTCAAAGAATCAGCCCGTAGAGAGCACATGGTCCTTGAGCGGATAAGGACGAGCTACACCCTTGCGCGTTCTAACGAGGACTAGTGGGGAGTGACGACTCTTCGATACATAGGAAAAACATCACCGCATTCCTCTTCCTCTCTTTATTTTTGAGCATTTCAAATCTTATCTTTACATTCTTAGAATTGCTATGCTAGAGTAGAATTGGAACATATGGTGCAAAACTTTTGTGCGGTCAAACAATAGAAAACATATTTAGGCACTAGAGGTGAAATAGGCTAAGTGTAGGGCTTAATTATTGAAAGAAATTTTAGATTAGCCCAATTCACCCTCCTATTGAGCATCTTGATCCTTTCACTTGGATTTGGCCTAAAGATGGTATTTTCTAAGGTTGGTGCTCATGAAAGTGAAAACTAGGGTTTTGGCTCAAATCAAACCATACCAAAGCTACAAAAGATAGATGCAAGCTTGTTGGTATAAATTAATGCACACAGAATAATCCGCAAACACATGGATATTATACCAATGTAGCACTTCACCGGTCGTATCCAGTTTTATATCGAACTCGAGGAAACGTGTGTGAGAATAATCAAATCTAATTTATCCCAACTTCACAATCAAGGCTAGATAATAGGAGCATAGAGGAGACTGCTAAGGTCTTCTAGTTCTAACTTCGATAAGCTTTGTCTTCTATTGTTCAATTCTGGGGATATTACTAGAGAAAACACAGGTAGAGTATGTTTTCTATAGCAACAAAGTCCTGCTAGGCCTACTAACGGGAGGTGGACTACAAAGGATTCAATGAGCCTATAAGAGTCACCCTCGCGAGCTACCACCGATCTGGAAAATAGGGTACATCCGCGAGTAACTGAGTCTAAGCACCACGCTTACACTACAAATACTACTTTAACCCAGGAGCTGCAAGGATTAAAGTACTCAAAAGAGAGTCGCAAACCTGAAGAACAATATGAACAAGATGCTTACTTGAATTAGAAGTCGATTACTAGAGAAATCTCAGAAGCAAGCTCAAGAAGAACTTGATTCCGTCAGGGTACAAGCCGTAGAGAGAGCACCGATAGGCCAAAACTCCTCCAAACTCTTCCCTCTCACCCTATCTCACTATCTCTAATACAAGACTAGATCCTATTGAGGACTAATCATCTCTTTATTGCTAGATCTGATTCTGGTGGACATATGGATTAGGGTTTCTGGCTTCTCTGCTCTCAGGATTAAATGTCTATTCCTTTTTTTTGGGGGGTGACAGGGGCTGGTATATATAGCCCGGAGCATCCAACGTGAGTCCTTGGATCGAACCGACTTAAAGAACGGCGGAGATGCAATTCTTAAGGCGGTGGAGAACCGACATAACAACGAGACTGATAGGTGGAACCCACAGAGGCCGAGCAGCCTCTAGGTGGGGCCAGCGGCCTCTAGGTGGGTCTGGGTGGCCCCACATGTCAGAGACACGTGTCCCGCTATGGTGATTCGTCTTCTGGAGTCTTCTAGTCTTCCCACGTCGATTATGTGATGGAATTCCATGATTTCTTTTTACGAATAGGTCCTCCTTGGCGGTTTTCTGATTTAATCCTACTAAAAACACAGATTCACCAAAACTCATAGAATTTGTCAGTTTAAAGCCCTAAGTCTACATCGATGATCTATTTTAGCCATTTATATAAGTTATATTGATAGTTTATGATGAATGTTAACTACCATCAACAAACTCCCCCACACTTAGGCTTTTACTCGTCCTCGATAAAATGATGGATTACTCAAGACATAACATTGGGACAAGACATCAACATAAAACTATTCCCAGTCATGCATGCACTGTAGGATTCAAAGTGTCTATTATGAAACTTTGGGCGGTTGAAGAACAGAACAACTTGAAATAGATCACCATCTTTCTTCAGTCAAGTCAATTGGAGAAACATTTTAAGATTTTTGAAAAAGAAAACATAGCTTACCTTCTCCTTTTATAGTACTCTCAAATCACTCTGTATATATATGGTATTTTTGGATCCTCACCAAAGCATTGATGACTTTGCCTTCTTTTTATCTACTTCTAAAAGCTTATGGGTGGCTTAGGTAGGGATGAATATGAAAACATACTTGCATTGCATATATTGTAAAGTTAAAACGAGGATCCGAAGAGAAAGATGTCATACTCTTAGATCAAGATGTGCATGTGTGTAGATATATATATGTGGTGGCTAACCTAATTCTACTATGCTCCTTGAAACATTTCTCTCCTGTTTGAAACTTAAATTTTTTTTGCAAGAAAACATGGGCTATCTTATTCATTTCTTCTTTCTTTTTTTTTCTTTTCAGGCGGGCATCTGAGTACCCATTGTTTTCAATATCTCGGACACTTGTCCATTTTTTCCAATACTTTCTTTTTCTTTTATGAATAACTTTTGCATAGCCCATGCCTCTCTTTTTGCAATTGAAACTTTTTAAGAGAGACATTTACAATAACTTGGAACATTTATCCTATCAAGCATATTTTTGTGTCTATTCCCAGTGTAGGAGTAGAATATTTTTAGGTGGATGGAAAACATGTTGTTATGTACCCCCAGTGTAGGAGCAGCAAATATATGTGGAGTGTACGTGATCTTGATCTTGAGAGCATAATAAATTTCTCAACAAGGGTCACAAGGTTTGACCAAACTCAACACAATGACAAGTAGTATATGTAGAAGGTTTCTCTAGTCTATATATGGCTCTGGTAGGACATTGCTTACCACAAAGAAGAGGTGTAGCTATTCTTTTTATTTTTTGGAATAAAATTCTCTAATAATAAGACATAAAGAATCCACTTCTCATTATTCACTATATCTCATTCCACAATAACTTAAGTAACATGGGGTCCCTAATAATAAGTTCCCAACAGTAGCAAGACTTCCAGAAAAAGTATTATGTGAGTCTATCCTTAAGTCATGACTGAAATAATCTTTCCTTATGTTTTAAAGTTGTTTTATTAAGTGATTTTCAATTTGGTTTGAAATGGAAAGCGAAACATATAAAAATAGAGTGTATTGGGCTCGAACCTGACCGTGGACAAA